ACATATTTTGTCATATTTTGTCATTTAATTATCTTAATTTTGGTTTTCAAAGAGCTTATTTTCAGTTTTCGATTTTTAAAAAGCTCAATTGAAATCAAACTAAAATATATTTGATAATACTAAAACCAAAAAAATAAAAATCAAAAACCATATTGAAACTAAACCAAATTCATTTTTTTGATTTGATTTTTGAATAACCCGTCGGTTCGGTTTCAAATGCCCAACCTTACCAGTTAGGGCAAATTTGCAACAAAAGATTACAGTCTTCAAAGAAAACCAAAAAAGGTCACTTCCCAATCAAGTCAATTTGTTTCCTCAAAAATCCTCTAGTGGCCTCGCACGTGTGAAATCTGGTTGCGGGCGTGCCACTTACTTTGCTGAAAGTAAGAAAGGAGGACTTTCCCAACGACCCTCTCCTTCCTCACGGTCGACCTCTTCACAAATGTCGGGAAGAACGTTGGATTAAAATTGAAATTGCGCCTTCAGACGATTTGCAAGAGGGAGGGATGCCTTCCTGCAGATTGGGTTACGAAATCTGCCTTGAACAACTCCAAGGACTTAAACACTACCGTGACTTAAAATTATCAAATCCTAATTATTTTAAATTACCTGCAATTTAAAATAAACTTGCGAGAAAAAAATGTACTTAAACTAAATTAAACATGCTTATGATAAAATTAAAATGCAATCTATTGACAGATTCGGAAATTAAATTGTTGCAGAACTGGAAATTTAATCCTAAATTAGCACTAAAATTAAATGTGAACAGTGAAGAAATTGAAGAATTTGAATTTGGAAAGAAGCATGAAAGCCACATAAGTAATCATTGAAGCAATGCTACTTAACATAAACATTAAATTAATTACAAATGAAAAAAAAACAATACCTTGCATAAACTTGAAGGATTGAAGTTCATTGCATGAAAGGAAATTGTTTAACTGAATATAGGAATTAATTTGTCTACTGGAATGATGAAAAACAACCTAATTCTAATGGAATCTGTGCTGAAATCCAAAATCTGGAAACATGTGCAGAGAAAATCAAAGTATGAAAATTTGCAGTTTTTTGAGTAGGGTTGGCCGTCTGTTCCTCTTGCCAAAGTTTCCTTTTTGTTCTTCTTGTGCCGGCAGTTACTCAATCATGGGTAGTTTGTTGGAGTAGTGGGACACCTCACCTTTTGACCTAGTCTAATCCCCTTTCAGATTTCACCACCCGTACTTTATCATATAAAATCCCCTTTTTAACTGTGATCTTCCCCTATTTTCCAATTGCCATTATCTCTTTCTGTTTCAAGAAGATAATTACTCCATAAAACATTATCTTTACCTCTCCTATCTTGCCAACACATGTGCTGATCTGTCATGGGGCCCAGAATCCGAATTTGACATGGCTCAAACTCCTCCAGCCAATAAAAATTTTACACGTGGCATTAATTTAAAATTTTACAATTTATGGTATAAACACATTCATACTACCAGATTTTTCAATTCGACTCAAAGTGACTGATTTCAAGCTCAATGGCTATTTATGAGTTGTCATTGTTAAAATGATTGGTGTTTTTATTTGTGTTTTAACTGTCCCCTTCTCCTTGAGTGTTTGAAGGTGTAGCTCTATGAATGCTAACCTTAATTACGATATGGATATGAATTATTGCTCGTGTAAATTTGTCTACCATTAAGTGACTTAATGGTCACTTTCCTTTAAATAGGTGTCTGAACAGCAATATATTAGATTCTATAACCAAGTCTCTCCCATTCTCAAAATTTCCTTTGTTAAAAAAAAAGATTAATCCCATAAACTTGATTTATAAAATCATATTTACTGATTAATAGATTTAATTAAGTTATTTATTTTATATAAAATAATGATAAATTGGATTAATTATTAATATTAAATTTTATAACAAATATACCATAATAATTTATATGATGCAGTTTGCATATAAATTCATATAATCAATTTTTAAAATAATTTTGATGCAGAATATCATCTAAAAAATCATTACTTGTTTACGTAGTACGTACTGATTAATAGAAGTCTAACATCCTTTTCCCGTGTATTAGTCGTCTCGGTGGGAGGAAGCCTAGTGTGATTGTTGGCCAAATAAAAGACATTAGTTTGTTTTAAAATTATTTAAGGAAATGTAATTGCGAACAAATTAAACTTGCAAAAATATGAGCGGAAAGGTGTGTACATAAATTTTGTATATTATATTTATATAAAATATAATTATTTAATTTTTTATTTTAAATACTTGAAATTTATTTATATTTATTAAAAATAATTATTTTTTATATAAAATTTTATATTTTATATAAATGTAATATATAAAATTTATGTATAAAAAAATATATTCTAAAATAAAGAATATATAAATATAAGATGGTGCATGTCAATGATCAATTTGACTTTGTAATAAAGACTTACATCTTATAATTTTAAGGTTGTGAATTTGATTCTCAAGGTTTTCCTAAATTTTTCTTTAACAATTTTTTCCATATAGCCTTACATGTGAATAGCCTTTCTTCACTTTATGATTCCAAAATATCATATAAAAATTAGTATATATACAATAAAAAATTATGCAAAAAGTTTCATGTACATTACTTTGTGGGTGGAATTAGATGTAGTAATATTATAATTACAATATTATGTAAAATTATAAACTTATAATTTTATGTTGCATTACGTCACATATTATTAAATAAGTAAATATATATAATGTTACAAGTGAATTCTTGAATAAAAAAATCAATTATATAACTAAAACATTTTCAAATTAAATGTCTTGATTTTCACATTAATAATAGTTTTAACTATTTTTTTGAATAAAAATAAATTTGAACTACATTTTTTACTTTGTATATACAAATACAATAAAATAATATTATTATCATACTCTTAATTATTAATATCACATTTTTATTTTTTAGTTGATCAATATACGCTTGAATTCATTAAAAAAAATAAAAATTATAAAATTTTAAGAAAAAATATAATATAACAGATTTAATAATAAATTAAGGTTAGGAATTAATTATGGTGTGGGAATAAATCCACCCTATACAATGCCGTCCGAACTGAAACGTCCGGTCAAAATTCAAAAACTGTAATCGCTATTCCCATTTTCCACCAACGCTGCCCGGCCATGTCCGACGAATCGGAAACCCGCAACTGGCTGGAGCTGCCGCGCGAATTGACGGTGGCGATTCTCTCTCGCCTAGGGCCCGTAGATATCCTAACCAGTGCGCAAAGTGTAAGGATTCCTCCATGTGGCGATCTATCGACTTCCACGATTACTGCTACCGGCCCTTCCGTGATCTCGAGGATATGTGCAAGCGAGCCGTCGATCGCAGCAAAGGCGATTTGGTTAATATCAACATCGAGCACTTTGCTACTGATTACCTTCTTGAATGTAAAACTGAGACGTAAATTCTCTTGGTTTTCTAATTATTTGAGGTTGTTTATTTAATCATTTCACTTACTTTTAGGGTTAATTTTACAGGAACAAATGTCAATTTCTGTATTTGGGAGGAAATGGGTTAATTTTACTATGATTATAGGAAAATTCAATGTTGCAAAAAGCTAAGCCTCGCTTAGGTGGTGTCATTCTTCCCGCATCAATTTAGATTTATAAGTAATGTCATTTTATTTGTAAAAATTCAATATGATTTACATCATTTAGATTAATTAAATACGTTCAAACACCATTAAGCATGCTTAATGGCATCTAAAATATTTGAGTGAATGTTTTTTATTAATTTTTTAACTTAATGAAACGATGTCATTTAATTTATTATAAAAATTATATTAAAAAATATTAAATGCCAAATAATTTTATTAAATGTCAAGTAATTCCCTTAAAATTTTCTATTTAGACATAAAAATAAATAAATAAAAATTTAATTTTTTTAATTTATTTTATAAAATTTTAAATTGTTTTACATCATTTTCCTTATTGTCTTTGAATTATATCAAAAAATTATTATTAAAAAAAGAAAACCGCCTAGGCGCTCTAGGTTTTAAGTTGTGGGCAACCACCCACCATTACCTAACCCTTTATGCAACCTTCGAAAAATTTATGAGGGAATTCTTTGTTGAGAATGTTATACAATCGTACGTTGGTGGGTACCAACTCATCTAAGATCTTGTTGGTACAATACCCTTTTTTGTTGTTTTGGTTTTTAGACAACTTGGTAAATAGGTATTGTACATTCTGTTTCACTTAGATTGATCTTTGCGATGCCTGTGCCCGTGCTTGTTTAATGCTCCGTCGACCTCAGCGATGTATCATTTGTATATGGTATTAGGCTTAGTTTCTACAATATTTGTGGAATTGCATTATACCATCCATGGCATCTTTTTCTGAAAACTTACATCTTCTCTGATGAAATCTACTTTTATAACCGTTGAGTGTACCACTAAAATTCTATACCATTTAACCTGGTAGTTTTGTTTCGTTACATGGACAACAAACAGTTCGTTAGTCCAGAACAGTTAAATAGGTTTTCCTAGAATTGATCGTTTATAACCTTGTTGTTTATTGATAGTCGTACTGGCCTAGGTTGATATCTGATATATGTTATGTGGCAAGTAAATGATATACTTTGATCCCTATAGTGCTTTTCAAGATCAAGTCATATCAGACGCCTTCGACTTGTTTCTTGCCATTGGGTTTCAGATAAGGGATTGTGCAAAGCAGCTAAGAAACTTGCCTTAGTGGAAGAACTAGACATTTCATACTGCTGCTCTATTGCCTTAGTGGAAGAACTAGACATTTCATACTGCTGCTCTATTTCAGCGGCTGCTCTGATAGTTGTTGATCGTCGTTGCCCTCACGTGAAATCATTCAAATACAATAAACAGGATAGATATCATTATGGATTCACTAACACGTATGTCTCTCGTGATAAGACTGCAAAAGCTATTGCACAAAATATGCATGAACTGCGCCACCTCCATCTTTTTGGGAATAAACTGACAAATTGTGGCTTGGAGGCCATTCTCGATGGTTGTCCTCACCTTAAATCCCTTGACCTGCGCCATTGTTTCAATGTTAGTCTGCAAGGGATTTGCGGAAAATATGTGCCAAACAGATCAAACATATACGGCAACCCAAAGATTCTATTCAAGACTACAAACTTTATGATGTTTACCACAAATCTGCTTTATATGATGATGATGATGATGATGAAGATGACCCATCCGAATCTTCTTACAGTGATTCAATGTCTTATGGGGACTATGTTTGCGAACTTGAGTAATCAGATAGTGACTACCCCAATGAGCCCTACAATCATGTCTCTTTTGATGAATACTTGTGTAACGATTGATGAATTTTGAAGATGAAGCAGAAACTCGATAAGGTTATGTAGATGTTTCCTTTTCCCACATAGCATTGTTTTCCTTTATTAATTCCTTTCTTTGATAATGAAAAAACATGAGATATGAGGCTCTATATTGATTATTGGATTTGGGATTTGGCCTTTATTTACACAAAGGTTATGCAAGGCATGTTCCTATTTTTATTGTGAGGGCTGCATATCCTGCAGTAATTTTTGAGAGTCTCCTTGTTTTGCTTTGCTGCTTGTAACTAATTCTTTTGTTAAACAGCAGTTTGCCTTTGATGGGCTTTTGCTATTCTGCACTCTTGTGGTCTTATGGGCTCTGGATCTGTTAGAATCAAGGGGTTAGTATCAGGAGGCCGGCTAAATTGGCCCAACGAGACCCATTTTTCTGAAAGGAAAAATTACAAGTTGATTGCATAGAAATTCAGCACTGCAAAGTAATGTCAAAAATAAAAACCAATAATCCCTAAAAAGGGGCAATTAATTCAGTGTTGTTAAAATGTTTTTAAAATTTTAAACGACCCAACATTTAGAATTGCAACATCTAATGGTTTAAATTATATATATATATATAAAAGAAAAAAAGAGAGCCATATCTTGATTACATATGCTGTAAAAATAGAAGCAATCAACATTTAGGATCAGGCTTAATTTAATTTTTAGTCTATTAACTATCACCTTGATTTCATTTTAGTCTAGAAACAATGTTTTATTTTTAAGTGGTCTATTAACTTTCAGATTCATTTCAATTTCGTTTACTTGGTCAAAGATAAGGGAAAACTTCTTATTCTGTTAAAGAAGAGTTAGTCCTTTGACTATATTTTTTTGATCTTTTAGTTATTAAATTTATATTTGTTATAAAAATAGCTTTTTTACTTAAAATTATTATTTATAAGCTTTGATACCAAATTTTTATACGGGCTTTCTAATTTCTTTAATTTTGTATCAAAGCCTGAAAGTCAATAGACCACTTAAAAATAATAATTTTAAGTATAAAAATTTGATATCAGAGCCTAAAAAAAATAATTTTAAGTATAAAAGTTATTTTTATAACAAATATAAATTTGAGGACTAAAAGATGAAAAAAATATAGTTAGAGGATTAACTGTTTTTTAAAGAAGTTTTTCGTTATCTTTGACCAAAGTAGACAAAATTAAAATGAATCTAAAAATTAATAGACTACTTAGAAATAAAATATAATTTTTAAACTAAAATAAAATCAAAATGATAGTTAATAGACTACAAATTAAATTAAGTCTTTAGAATCCTACCACTAATTGTTTTTATGACGAAGATGTCCCATCTGGATTTTCTGACATAGATTCAATGTCTGATGGAGACAAATGATTATGAACTTGAGTTCTCAGATGGTAGGGACTAGGGACTACTCCTCTCCCAGCGAAATTGATGACTTTTCTGATGAATATGATTATATATAATCAACTTCGAAGATGAAGCCGCAATTTGCAAGGATAAGGAAACGAGGTCTGATGTTTCCTTTTCCCCAAATAGCATGCTCTATATTAATTATTGCATTTGGTTCTTTCGTGTGTATTTTTATGTTAAATGATAAGTTATATAATATATAAAAAATAATAATTCTCATCTCCTCAAATCCCTCTCAACTCATAGTGGTGGAACCAGAAATCAATTAAGGGTTGGGTTTTCTATTTTTTCAAACTTGATTTTAAGCATTGTTTGAGGAGCAAGATAAGCCAAAAGTTGGTTTTATTTTAGGGTTTTTTTAATATGTGTTTTAAGAGTATAAATTAAAAATATAATTATTGCATATGTTTCATATTAAATAATATTAAAAAGTAAAAATTAACATTTATTTAAGTAATTGTTCAATTAAAATTATTCACTTGACAATTGTGAAGAAATTAATGACAATTTTTATATATTTCAATACTAATTGATGTAAAAATGATACAATAATTATACTTTTAATATGTTCTTTAAAGGTATAAATTAAAAAAGTTTTTATTTTATTTTATTTTATTTTTTTATGGATGTTTTATTTTATTTTATTTTTTGTTAAACAATAAAAAAACAATTTTTTTCACTTATTTACCCCTCCACTTGCTTGCCTATAACTCCAATTTATAATCTTTTACTTAGAGGACTGATTATAGCACTAAACCTCTTACATAGTTGGCGCCCAAAGTTGAATATTGTTCGGCGAGATGTTCTATGATATTTTGCTGTAATGCGGACCCAGGCTAATCAAGTTGCGCTTTTTGATTTTCAAACCTTTTTATAAATGCATGCTTCTATTCTTGTTTTAAAGACATTTTATTCTCAACAGTTTGCTTTTGATGGGTCTTATTAGGCTGTAGACACTGCTTTGCTTTTTGCATACTCTTTTGAGCTTTATGGCCTTTGGATACATCAAATATAAATTAGGAAATTAGCATCAACAGTTATTCTTTTACCCAAAAAAAAAATAAAAAATGTATTAGCTGTTATTCACCAAGTAATTTGCCAGAGTTGGTGCCTACTGTTTCTTAAGGACACATCACATGTGTATCCCTAAATGTCTTCACCCTATCCTTTCGCGTGCAACTATACCAAGGCATACGCTAAGATAAACCAAGGGCAACTTTCTTCAGCACATCTGGCTCCAAGTCTACCCCCTTAACAATTGCTTTCTTACTTGCTCAATAGGTTCTATCTACTTTGTGGAGAAATATAGTGGCACTAGGAATTGAGGGGGGTAAAGGGTCATGGATGTTTAGAAATGGCTTCTGTTGGAAGCTGGAAATAGGAGACAAAATTAAATTCTAGAGGGACAAGTGGGTAGGAACTGAATCTCTAAGTGTATCCTTTCCTAGACTCTTTAATTTGGCATCTAATAGGAATGCAACTATTATGGAAATGGGACACTACTCTAATGGCTCTTGGAGTTGGGAATATATTTGGAGATGTGAACCATTTGGCAAGGAAAGGAATGAAGAACAAAGGTTAAATCAGATCCTCTTGGGTGAGGCAGCACTATCCTCTCAACTGGACCAAAGAAGTTGGAGCTTTGATACTGGAAATGGATATACAGTTGGGACTATGGATGAGATGCTACAAATGGTGGGGGATTTCCCTTTCCCTCCCCAATACAATTTCTCTCCTAAGTGAAGTTCATTGTACAGGGATCAAAAAGCTGGTCAAATCTAATGTTTGGTTCCTGATTTTCTTGGTGATTACATGGTCAATATGGTATATAAGGAATTCTATTATCCATCACTCACAACAATGGGACAAAGACAAAACTTTTGATTTAATCCAAAAGAGGACTTTTACATGGATTAGGGGGAGATCTCCTAAGGTTGTTTTTCCATTTTTCTACTGGTATAATTCCCTTAATTTATGTGTTCAAGAAATTACTAAAGTTTAGACTTGTCATCCATACTATAAGTCCTCCTTACT